TTGCTGCCTCCTTCCTTTGCTTGCGCTCCACTGCAGACGGGCCAGGAGACCGCAGCCTCGGTACTGACCCACGGAGCCACTCTGGCCTCGAGGGAAGCGCCTCAGTGGAAGTGGCAGGAGCGGTGGGGGACCCCCGCTGAGCCCCATCTCCGCCCAACCACAATCCCAGAGACGGAAGCATCCGCGCCCTCGCTCCTGGGAGGCACGTGGATTAGATTAGCGGTGAATGTCAGGGTTTTTAAGGACGAATTACATCGGACTTTGCATAAAAGCCCATGCTTTGGGGAGGGGAACCGACAGTCTAGCTGGAAGTCCCCCGCCAGCTCTGATGGGTAGAGGGGTCCAGAAAGGCCGGCCTTCCAGAAAGCCACAGGTTACCTACTGGGTTGACAAGGCCAAAAAAGGGTGAACAGTGCGGAGAGGGCGGGGGAGTGGGAGGGGCTGGGGGTGGGGGCGCCGACGGCGAACTCTACACTCTTTGGGAAAAGTATCCAACAATAATTTTTTTTTTCAAATGAAAAGCACACCTGCATTTAAAAAATAAGCACATATACGTACTTTTCTTTTCAGCAATCCAACTTTGAGGAATCTATTCCACTGAAGAAATACTAGTACATATGTTGTTTAAACAGAAATATTTATCACAGCAATATTTGTAGGACACGATATTTTCCACCCATTGATGGACATTTAGGTTCCTCCCCACTCCCCCCCCCACCCCCGCCCAAAAAAACTGGGAAAACTGAAATGTCCATCAATGGGGGGAAAAATTAAATAAATTGCAGTATGGCCATCTGAGAAATATTGTGTAACTATTTAAAACAGTGGTTCTCAACCTTCTGGCCCTTTAAATACAGTTCCTCATGTCGTGACCCAACCATAAAATTATTTTCATTGCTACTTCATAACTGTAATGTTGTTACTGTTATGAACCGTAATGTAAATATCTGATATACAGGATGGTCTTAGGCGACCCCTGTGAAAGGGTCGTTGGACCACCAAAGGGGTCGCAACCCACAGGTTGAGAACCGCTGATTTAAAAGAAGGGGTTATTTGTTTAGCTGCTGATTTTGAAGGATTGGTAGAAGAGAAATATATATCATAATTTTATAAAAACAAACAAACAAAAAGCCCACCTTCCTTATGAGCACATGTTTTTATGAGCATGGGAAAAGGTGTGGAAGGAGAGCAGGGTGGGTTAATACCATCCCCACTGTGTAACGTTGTATTTCTTCGCTGGTTACAATAACCCCCCCCCCTTTTTTTTTAATTTGGGAGAGGAATTTAATATAAGTGGCGAGGACGGGGAGGAGAAGAGCAGCTGAGGAAGCTCCAGGAGGAATTTGGTTAGGCTGGGAGGACCAGTTACTGCAGAATGGTGGTTGCAGGCATTAGAAGCCAGGGGTCTGGCCTGGGATGGGGCTCCAGATGGGGTTGGGCAGAGTCTGGGCGTAGTCACTGCCCAGTGGCTGACTTAATTCAAAGCATCCTCTGAGAAGGCCAGAGCGGGGTGGAGCCTGTGGAGCCTGTCGCAAGAGGAACTGAAGCTGCTGGACTCTACAGAAAAACTGCCCCAAAGTAGTAAAGTCATAATGAAGCTCTCTGCTTCAGGTTATTCGAAAGAGGTTATTTAAAGACTTCAGTGAGAGCCATCATATGGAGCCTGTGTGGAGGCAGGAGGAAATAATAGTAATATCTAACATCAGGTAATCGGAATGCAGTGTGAAAGTGCTTTATCTATGGAGTCTCATTTGATACAAGTACAACCTGATGAGGTAAGTATGGTTACCCCATTTCACAGAACAAGAAAGGGAGGTATAGAGGGGTTAAGTAACCTACCCATGTTTAGCAGCTGGTAACCCGATCCTCTAGCTCCCAGTCATCACTCTACAGGCAGAGGATCCATCTGGACAGAAATGTCAGCCTCCTTGCCCTGTGAGGCTGACGTGGGGAGGTTGCCCCCAGTGGGACTGAACACAGTTTATTTATTCCAGGTATTGGAGTTTGGGGCCCAGGTGAACCCACTGTCTTGTGAGGGCCACAAAACTGGTGTCTACACTGCTCCCCCCTTTAGTTCCCCTCCACCATCCCCTCTCACCCCCCTTCATTTTTGAAGGTGGAGAAGGGGCCAGAGAAGCATCACTTCGGTTTCCTTTGGTGGGTGTTGGGGAGGAAATGTCAGTGGGGCAGCGAGCCTTTCCTCAGGTCCCAGGGGACAGGGACATGGCAGACTGTTCCAGAGAATGGGCTCCTCTGGGACCATGCGGCCCAGCCATGGGCAGTGGGAGAATGGTTGAAGGCCTTCAGAGAAGCACCTCTGCTGGGAATTGATGGAGTTTGGGGGGAAGGAGGGGCGGGAGGGTGGGTGTAGGGGGAGGTGGGTGGGGGAAGGGTTCCTCTTCTGGCCCATCCACCTGATTTCCCCTAGTTTCAAAGTGCCCCTGTGGCCTGAAGGCTCAGGCTGGAGTGAAAGGACCTCTGGACCCACAGAAGGAGAATCTAGGTGGTGGTCCTAGTTCCCATTTGCTTCCGTGAGAGTCCTGAATGAAAATCAGTTCCAGTTCCACCCCCATCCCCCACCTCTTGTCCACAGCTCTGTCATCTCCAGCTGGAAGTTCGTCCTCCTCTCCCTCTGCTAACTCTGCTCCTGGATTTGTTCCTCCCCCCTGTCTCTCTCCCTCCCCGTCGCCTTCCTTCTCTCTCCTCTCCGCCTTCCCTGTAAGCCCCTCCCAAGGGCCTTGGAGTTCTTCATGGGACTGTGGAGCTGGCTTCTGGGACAACTTCAGAGGATAACCACACATTACACTCAAATTAATTTGTTTCGAATCCATCCACTCGGTAGAAGATGGAGTAGAGTGGGGCCCTTCCCCAATCTCAAAGGGCCCTAGGGGCAGAGCCGGAGACTGCTCCCACCTGGGCGGAGGCAGGTATGATGATTTCCTCCGGTGCCTGCTCCTTCCCCTCCCCCCATCTCCGTGCTGGGACGTGGTTAATATTTCTCTGAGCTTACCGCGCTGCTGCTTAAAAACAATAACCTCAACTAACATATGGAGATGTCATCGTGGTTAAACAGCAAATTACAGCCGAAGACGGCGCGATAATAACCTAAAACAATCACCGAAAGAAGAAATGTTCTCAGACCTCGTTTCTGAGACTGGCTGCCCAGCGATCCTGGGCTTGCTCCCAGCGCCCGTGAGCGTGGTCCCCGCCTAGGTCGGGGCGAGGGAGCCCGGGACAGGACGCCTAGCTTTCTCGAGGCTCCCCCGGGCGATCTGGGACTGGGCAGAGTTGGGGTGTGGAAGGACCCGGCAGCCGGGCGCCCTCCCTGTGGGGCGACCCCACCGGGGAGGCGGTTGCCGCCGAGAGGAAGGGGTTCCCTGAGAAGAACCCTGTGGGGAGAGGAAGTGAGCCGCGCTCCCAATCCCCGCCCCTCGTCGCTCTGCGCCCTCCCTCAGGCTCGCCTCCAGGCTCGAGTGGAAGGAGATTGATTTCTGAGTGGGAAGATCGCGCTGGGAGGGAAGGGGTGTCCACCAGGGTCGGGGAGGTCTCTCCCCCCACACGCCTCCCCCCCCCCCCCGCCCCGCGCACTGGGGGGCCTGGGGGAACGACGTATGCAGTTTCTTTGGCCAACAAGGGGCCTAGTTGTGCGCACCGGCTCTTCCCCAGTTTGCGGAGGGAAAGATTCCGATGGGAGGCAGCACGCTATTCGGGCAAAATTGACGGGAGACTACCCTCCCTCTTCCTCCTCGTTCTCCGCCCCCTCATTTAATAGATTCGTAATTAAAACAGGCTCAGACATTGTAGCTTGATTTGCAGGGTTTAGCTGGGGTTAGAATAGTCCTGTTTATACTTAGACGGAAAATACTGAAAATAATCCCTGCAACGAAACGATCAAAACAACCAGAGTTTCCCGGTGCGTGGATCTCCTTTGGTTTTGACTGAGCATCGGGGATCGAAGGAGGCGGGGGAGCTGTTTCCAGGAGCGGCGGGCGCGGCGCGTGCGTGGCGGGGCCGCGGTAATGTATGCGGCCATTAGGAACCCGCGCAGCTTCCAGCGCTCCGGGCGCTGGGACACATGTGTTGCAGGAATTCAATCCGTGGGGAGAATGCAGATTGGGTTGTGACCCACTGGGTTTGATTTATGAACTTTCGCACTAGCGATTGTTTACGCATTGCATTTCAGAACCCCGCGCACGCTCCAGGCGGCGGCCCGCAGGCTCCAGGGCGCGGGAGCCCACCGCAGCCTCCTCCGCCTCCTTCCACACGTCTCCCTCCCCCACCCCCCAGCTACCCCGGGGGACCCCGCAGCTCCCTCCCACCTGCACCTTCTCCAGGAAATCAGAGTTTGATTTCATTGAACCCAGACACGCATGTGGTTCTCCCTCCCCCAGCCTGCAGTCCCGCAGCCCTGGACCCGGTTCCCTCAGCCCCTGCTCACTCTCGAATGTTTACTTCTAGGTAAGGCCATGGGGCCTATAAATAGGAGAGGTGGAAGCAGCTCTACTGCCTGATCAATAGGGCCCTGTCTCCTCGCCATTTCGGCTGAGCTGTCATATTAATTATGAAAGGATTCACCTGATCCCTGCCAGTGACCACAGCCTCCCGGCCCCTCCGTTAGAGCCCTTAATGGCGGTTCCTTCGCGAGCTGCCCGGGCCACCGCAGAGGAAGAGGCTAGTCGCGGTTAAGGCCCGGCCTGCAGGGAAGGGGGCTGAGGGCCGGCCACTGGCATTCGGTCTGCGCGCGCTTTCTCAGAGGAGCGCACACACTCCCCACGCCCTTACCCAGAAAGGATCTCTGCTGTTGCGTGGATTTCTCTTCTTAGAGTAAACGGGATTTCTGAGAAATTGCTATGTCCTAGTTGAGGGGGGCCTGCTTGAGATGATAGGTGATGGAGTGGCGTGTGGACGGGTGAATGTATCCCCTGGCTTCATGAGTCCCTTCCGGGACCTCTGAGAACGCTGCCAAGAAAGCAGGCCTTGGACAGGAAACAGACAACGCCCCCATTTCAAACAATAACTTTATTTTATACTTCTCTATACTTTGTAGCAAATCTTTTTTTGCTTGAATTTAATTTATAATAAACTTTTTAAATTACATCTCTCTCTCTCTTTAAAATCAAGGCTCTCTATGTCAAAATCTTTTTAAACTATATTTTAGATTAACATTGAACACTCCCCCCTTGTGATCTACACCGGTGGATATTCGGGTATTACTGTATGTGTAACAGCTAAAACAAGAGAGGAGGGGAAAGAAAGGCTTGGACTTGGAAAGATGCATCAATAACAGCAGGTGAAGCTGAACCTCTCAGTGAATCGAGCAGCACTTCTTCCGGCAGCCTTTACCTCTAACCCGGGAGTTCCCCAGCTCTTTTCCTCTCTGCCTCTGACCCTTCAAACACAAAGCCGACAATCTGTCCTTTCACTGTTCTTGAGGAGAAATGTGCAGTGGAAATGATCAAAACAAGATACTGTGGAAGAAAGGCGTGAACGTGAATTATTCACCATATGCTTCCCTCGTGGTCATCTCTCTGAACTCATTCCCCTGGCCTTCTCCTCTCCTCTTTCCTATTAGGAGGAGCCCGTCATTGGTCATGTATTCACATGATTAGTATAGTAGGTGGCCCAGGGCCATTCCTGAGATTCTTTTGCCAAAAAATAAAATTTTTAAAATGGGGTGGGTTTATCATTTTCTTATTGTTATGTGAAGAGGGACTAAAGCTGAGGTCCGATTTTGGCTGTGCTTGCTTGCTCACTGATTGGTAACATTTGGCAAATAAAACACAAGAGATCAAACGAAATCAAAGAGAATCAAGATTTCCCACAATCCTATATGAGTGTTTTCAGCATCACAGAGAATCACAGGGTCCCCAAAGAACGAATGGATCTTCCTTTCAATTTCCGGGAGCATGGAGTGAGTGTGGGTGGGCGAGGGGGGAGCCGGCCCCGCGGTCAGAAGGAAAGCCAGGTCGCTAAAGCTGCCGAGAGAGACGCCAGGAGCACGGAGAGCGCTGGGAGCAGGGACCCCGCCGCCCCATTGCCGCTGCCGCAGAGTTCGAATAAGCTGCCTTGGATGTTGAGGTTTTTGGATTCTTTTCTCAGTTTATCCCATATCTCTTTCGCCCCTTCCTGGCAATCCGTAAGGGCTGTGACCGTGCAGCTGTGGAAATCCTCCCAGTATCTGGCGAGGAACAGAACAAACAGAAGAAGCAGGTTCACTTTAGGCGCGTGGGAGGACCCGGGGCCTGTGCCCGTGCGCCCAGCGCTCTCGGCGTCACCAGCCTCCGCGGGTGCCCCCACCCTCCCTCCCCTCCACCGCCCTGGCGCCTGGGCCCTGCGAGGTCCGCCCTCGCCGGACCCAGCCCACCCTAGCAGCTGCGGCCCGAGGAGAGGGCCTCCCCGCTCCGGGTCTGGTCTCTCTCCCGGGTGCCCGGCGGGGACCCAGCAGCCAGGAGCCGGGGCCTCACCGGCTGCGCCAAGCTGGCACCTCGGCCTGCGCCAACAGATTGCTTGTCCTCCTCGGGGGAAGCTAGGAAAACAGTGCTAAGCCTTGCAAGCTGCCGCCCATTAATGCCTCTTAGCTTGCAAGAAGGGTTACTGGCTCCTGGCGCAGCCCTCCCCGCTGGGCTTCTCACTTTCTCCTCCCACCCCTCCTCCCCTGCTGTCTCTCTCCCTCCAGGCACCGCCTTATTCTCCCCCACCCCACCCCCGTCTTTGCCCTTTCTCCCCACTCCCTGCCTTGGGTCTCCCGTTCTTTTATTTTCCTTCTTCCCTCTAACCTCCTTTGTCTTCCTCCTTTCCACCTCCCCTCGGTTTTCCTTGGTTCAGTTCCTCACTGCTTCCCCATCCTCACTGGCTTCGGTCCTCCGTGGCTCCTCGCGTTGCTCTCCAGTCCCCCAGCTCAGATTCTGTCAGGAAGCTCGGGCTTGCCTCGCCCCTTCCCGGGTCGGGGAGTGTTGGTGCCCGAGCCCCTAGGCCAGCTTTCGACACCTACCTTTTGCAAACCTCTGTGCTCCCCCTTGCGCACTTGGTCTCTCTTGCGCACCTCTTCTCTCCCCGCCCCCCAGTCTTCTTCTCGGACTTGGATCCCGTGAGGCCTCCTCCCCAGAGCCTTAGGATAGTGCCCAGCCCCCAGGCCAGGACTCCAGGGCTGGCGCGGGGCCCAAGGTTGCCAACCTTTGTGACACCTGGCTCCTCGTCCTCCCTTCCCGCCTCTTCCGGAGCCTGGCACCTCCCTCGGCGCCTTCTTCCCCCAGAACTCAGTTCCTGGCCCCGCCCCCACAACCTTCATCCAACCTGTCCTTCTTTATTGTCCCCCTTCTTCTGAAAACCCAAAATAGATCTCAAGCCTAAATATAATTCCAACCCGTGATCGATTCCTGGGGCGCTGTCTCCTCTCGGTGCAGGTCGATCTGTGTCTCAGTAACTCCGGCTGGCTTCCACCTCAAGGGGCCCTGAGACCACCAGGTCACCAGTGACCACAGACTTCGCAGTTTGGTTGCATTGTCTCCTATCCCTTCCTTCTGCTCTTTAGCCTGGCCTGTAAGCACGTTGAAGGCAGGCACTATGTTTGATTTATCCTTGTTTCCACTCCCTCACCATCTTCTGGCAAATAATCAAGTTAAAATGCTTGTTGGATTGCCTGGAGCTATGGTGTTCTCTAATGACCTCCCAGAGTTCTAATTTATAAGGGGGGTGGGGGGGGTAGTGGTCCTGGGGTGTAGGGCTTCTAGGTTCCTCAAATGGAAAAAAAAATAGCAAGCTTTGAGAAACCTAAGAGGTGGAGGCACAGTTCTCTGAAAAAATGGCACCTCCCAAAGGGAGTCTAACTCCCTCCTTTCTTTATGCCCAGAGGGAACAAGCCCCCCTGGAGGGAGAGAGGCATGGTGGAAAGGGTCAGACGTCCAGGTGGGACTGAAAGGAGTTGTGGAGCACCCAGTGCACCAACTCAGTGAGAGCCTCAACCCAGCTGTGGCCTGTGACCTCTGGAGGGGTCCTCCTCATTTCCATTTTTCAGGACCAAATCTTGCAAAATAAACTCAAATAACTTGGAATAACCAAGTTGTGGCAAATGATGGAGCATTTGGGAGCTGATCTATATTTAACCTTTTATTGTGAATAGATGTAATCTTACCTAGCATCAGATATTTGGAATTATAATAGGTAGGTATGCATCCCAGACCCAAACATTTGTCCCTTTCCTGTTAGGAAGGTACCAGCTACTTAGCTGCTGTGGCTCCTAGTGGGTATCTGGATGTTTAGGAAAATGCATAGCAAAATTGACCCCTGTTTAACTACTCATAATTTAAATACACCCCACACCCCCCAGGAATTAGAGAGAAGAAGGACTTCACAGTATAAAAAAGGTGGTACAGCAAATGGTCACTCCAACCTCTGGGGTACAAGGAATACCCGTTGCCTTGACTTTATTGAAAGGGTCTTTATGAGGGGGGTATCATATCTGTTTTTGAAAAATAAAATAAAGTGTGTGTTATTGCAGAGGATAGGGATATTTCTAAGGCTTGCAGCAGCTGAAATGTCACTGAGCCTGGCCACGAACTCTTTCATGGCGCTCCTTGGACCCTTAACCGCCCTGGCCTTTTAATACATGTAGAGTCTACATTGTAGACCAAGAAAGAGGGGAACAACAACAACAAAAAACCATGGAGGGTGACTACCCTAAACCTAGCAAATTACTACACACTCAACAGTCACCAGATGCCCAGAACACGTCTTCTTGGGCAAAGTCATTGGCAGGAAACAAAATATCCTCTCACTCTTTTTCCCAGGAAGAGGAAGGGGGCCCAGTGCTCCCTTGCCTGCACTCCAGCTTTCTTGATGTGTACTTGAGGGGAGTTTTAATCAGGGGAAATGGACAAAATAGGTGATAGACTTTCCTTTTAGGCAAATGTATCAATACCTAAGCCTCCCCTGAAACCAAAACTATTCTTTGTAGGGTACTAGGCAGGCCTCTCATTCAGAAGCAAAGACTGAGGAAGACTGCTCCAAACAGGGAGGAATTGGCAGCCGCTCTCGCTGCCCCTCGCCCTGGTTTCAGCGCGGAGGATGAGCACGCCTCTGTGTTGGACTGGGCCTCCTCAGAATGATCCTCCTCTGCCCACTCCAGGCTACAGCGTCCCCTTGGGCGGCGCAGGCCCTGCCGAGGCCTGAGGGTGGGAGCCAGCAGGTGAGAATGCGCAAATTCGAGTCGCCACGGATCTCCCACCCCAGCAGCGCCCCCCGGAATAGGAGCCTAGCAGGCCAGGGAGGACACTTACGTGCACATGGTCTTGACGTTCGTCTTGTCGTCCAGGCCCTGCGGGTAGTTGGCCACGCTTTCGCCCAGTTTGAGCAAACAGTTTGAAAAGCCCTTAAAGACCTCATCGCACTTGCCCGCTGCTCTCACGGCCTGCACCAGGTACGCTGCGGGGAGGAGGGGACACCGGTCAGCAGCGCCCAGATCCCTCTCGGCAGCCCCCCTCCCGCTGCCCCCAACTCGGCGCGGCTTGGCCCCTGTGCTCCAGAGTGAAAGGTGAATGAAAGATTCGATCCCGAATGAACGACCTGCACCCAACTAGGCGCCTTCTGCAGGCTGTCGTGTCTGAAGGTGTGGGTGGCCCCGTAGGGAGGCTCTCCCTGTCCCGAAGCTCCTCCTGCATCTCGATCTCTCTCTTTCCCGTTCCTACTGTCCACTCTTCTCACCTCCCTTTTCTCCTTTATGTTTCTCTTTCTACTCCCTCCCTCCTTGTTTCCCAACGCTTCCCCAGCAAGCCGTCCGGCTCTGGGAGCGCAGCTTTCCATTTCTGAGGTGACAGGGGGGGCCTCACAGCAGAGAGCGGGGTGAGGAAGGGGTGGAGGTGACACAGCACGGGGCCACGCAGTGGAACCTGACGCTATGCCACGTGAAAAGCCTGGCCGTGGCACCCAAGTCCTTGGTGGGCGCTCAGCAACACTGCTGAATAAATCACTGCTGAGTAAATGAGTGAAATCTCTGGCAGCCACCAGCGGCCACCAGAACACCGTGCGGACTATTTTCCCAGGGAGATCCTTCCTGCGCAGAGAGCAGCCTGGGCGCCTGGGACTAGGCGAGGTGACAGTGGTCGGGGCAGTCTGGGCCCTGCAGAGTCATGAATGTGTCTGTGCGGGTGACCCTGCGTCACCTCGGTGGAGGCCAAATCCGTGAGCCTTGGGTCCCCCGCTTCCTGTTTTCCCCACACTCTTACCCCCCCCCCCCCGTTTCTCCCCGCCCCCCTATGGTCACCACTCCAGCCAGGAGCAGGGTGGGACCTTTCCTCTCCAGGCTCAGTCCGGCGGCTGAGGGCCAGGGTGGCTGCCGTCCGGGGCTGCGGGCCTCCGGCTCCCACTACCTCCAGGTGGGGGCGGGGAGAGCGGCGGGCGGCGGGAGGGACCCTGGTGCTGGAGGAGGAGGGGAGGAGACCCAGGCCGATCTGAGGTCCACCCTCTTGGCCTCAGGTCGGTCAAACCCTGCGGTGCGAGAACTGGGAGAGGCAGAGACAGGCTCCAGACCGCGGACGCGCTGCCTTGGCCATTTTTCTCCATTTCAAGGCCAAAGAACCCGGATAAACGTTGGATGGCGAAAGGCCAAAACCACTCAGGGCGCCAGGAGGTCGTGCAAGAAGCGCAGATCTTCGCTGTTGGAGCGAGGGGAGGGGAAAGAACAGGCGAATCTTCTCAGAATCGAAATTGGCCTAAAATGCCCAAGATCTTTCACGCCGCTGCGGCTAGAGTGTGAATGTCTCGGGGGAGGACCGTACCCCCATCCCCCTTCCCTGGCCGCTGGTTCCCTTGAGCCCCTCTAGACGCAGACCAGGGGGAAGGTGACCGAACCTGCAGCAGCCTGCAAGAGCACCGTTTGCAAATTGCTGCAGAAGCAAGGCGGGCCTTGCGCTCTCTAATCCGGAACGGGAAGCTCTGGGGAAGGGGCTAAGGTTAACTTCGATCTCGGCTCAGGCTATAGGTAAACCTTCACAGACAACCCCTGCCCCCGTCAAACGAAATATTAAAAGCCCATGCGACTGCAATATCAGGTAGAATACTAAGAGAGAATAAACGAATGTTGGTTCTCATAGGAACACGATCACAGTGAAACAAATCCTACCCGTTGTCCTCTACAATGCACGCCACAGATGCAGTTTTGCAGCGAAGAGACGAAATAAAATACACTCCATCCATTCCCACCAAATCCCCGGCTCTCCTTATCCTTTACCTCCACCCTCCAAACGCGATAGCAAAGAAAGTAGCCCTTAAAACGTATTGACACAATTTTAAAGGGGAGCTGGTGTTTGCTGGGGGCGGGGAGCTCTCCGGTCACGTTATCTTTCCTGGCTCTGCCGGAGGAGACCCTCCATACCGCGCATGTGTGAGTGTGTGCATGTGTAAAATAAGAAGTCGTGAACATTTCTTTTTTGGAAACTAGACTTCTTGGTTTCTAGCTGGCTGTGGGAGGCCGGGAGCTTGCGCTCGGGACGTATTTTGCAGGCTCAGGCATTTGCGCAGGTCGCAGTCCGCGCGACCCTCGCGGTGGTTTCTGAACCCGACTTCAGAGAGGCTAGGGCGGGCCGGCCAGGCTCCTTCCCTGTTCTCGGGTGTCCGCACCTTGTCTCCCTTCCACCCGTTCATTCATTCCTTTGACCTCTCATTCATTCCAAACTTCCTTCAGCCGGGTCTTAATTTGCGTTCACCACCCTTTCCTCCCCCTCATTCCCCAACCCCCACTTTTCTTGCCAAATGTCAATGATTTGGGAAAGCTCCCAGACATGAATTAATAAAGATCGAGAGGCTCTGGTGCGGGAAAGGGCAGATATTCGGGAACAAATTTGCTCAATTTCAATCCCACAGCCAACAAATGGTCATTTTCCGGCTGAGGTTAATGTGTTCCAAGAGCATCCCGCATGCACAATTGCTGTCTTTTTTACCCCCTACCCCCAACACACAGTAAGGTTATTTTCCACCGGGAAAAGGGAGCACCAACATTCTCCGAATAAAATCCCCATATCAAAATAGGTGCTGCTGCCTACTCTCTAAAAATTTGCAGGCTAATTGCAAAATTCCACATTCACTTATTTCCAATATTTAAGGGATTGGCTGCAATTAGAAATATTCTTTATTTATTGCAGTTCTCCGCACTAATGTCAAAGATTCAAACAGCCAGATTCAAAACATCAAGTCATTTCTCAGAATTAAAGGAAAACGCCAACATCCTGCATCTCCACTCTCTAAAATCCCTATAATGTTCATGCAAAAAATCAGATACTCAAAATCATGTCAAATGCATAAAATCTGCTGCAAAGAATCCATTTTATTGTATCAATAACTCCAAACTCTGTTCCCTTCACATTTCTCACGAAGAAAAATATTATTAATTTTATCTCTTGCCCGAAACCAATTCCCTAAAGCTCCCCCCCCCCCCAATACTGCAAGGATTTGTCTGCAAAGAAATTTACAGCCTTGAAATGATAGAAGTCAACAATATTCTGTCACCAGAAACCCCGTTTGAAGAGTTTCTATTTTTCTCTTGCCCATTCTCTTAATAATCAGCTTCACTTTCACTTTTAGGCCACCTTAATTAATACTCTGACCCGCATGAGAGAAGGGGGTTTTCTGGTACTCCCTTCCATAACTTCATTCTGGATGGAAAATGTGAACTTTTTAAAACCCCATGACAGCAGAACTAGGACTCAACATTCCTTAACATAAAATGGGGACTACATAAATCCATCTGTAATAACCCCAAACAAACAATAAAATAACAAACACCCAACATAACATATTGCAAACACTTTTTAACCCTTTCCTGTATGTAAAATACAGATGCCTATGTGGAAAGGAACAGGCAAACATTCATAGAAAATTATATTTACATATATTTGGTGATGTTTAACCTCCTCAATGATAAGCACATTAAAATACTACCCTGGGGCTCCACATCCTTCTCAATCTGACCCCCAGCCGGTCTGCAGTGCCCGGTGCAAATGCTGCAGCTAGGGTATGGGGGTGGGGTGGCAGGAGTATGACAAAGTTCTAAATGCAGCATTCTGCGCCCCGGAATATCTGCTTTCTGCACATAAACTTTCCAGTTCTAGCTGCTTAGCCATCTTGTTGCTGCAATCACCTTTCCACCCTTCAAAATAATACCTTGCCATATAGCAGGGACCAATGCATTGCCCCAGAACATATCAAACCTGGTCTAACCAAGAGAGGGAAGAAGAAGAAGAAGAAAAATGGACGTGTTCTCTGTTAAAAATAGGAGAAAAAATCCCCTCCTAAATCGGCTGGTCGCTCACATTTCCTGGATAACATTGGGAAGTCTCTCTCCTTTTTCTTTTCTTTTTTTTTTTTTTTTTTTTAGAAAAACCAACCCGGGACTTGCGAGTCCACAGGAACCGATGCCCCCACCCTTGGGGGTTTGGGGCTTCTCCGCACCCCGGGACGGCTGCTAGCCAGTCGGACCCTTTGATGCCTCGGGCTTGGCCGGCCGGCAGCCTCCTGCCACCCGGCGCGAATCTGGCTGGGCAGCCACTTACCTATTTGCACCGCGAGGATCAGTGAAATATATCTGCCGTTCAACTTAAGTCCCATCCTACGTTTAGTCAAACCATTTGCGACCGCAGACCTTTAAATAGTTAGTTTAGAGAACGCGGGGGAAAGCTGAAAAATAGGCATTGCCAACAAGTTCCAGGAGCGACGGAGACTTTCTGCACCGGGAAAGCAGAGGGAGGAGAGAGAGGGAGAGAAGGAAGAGAGAGAGGGAGCAGGAGAGGGAGGGAGAGAGAGAGAGAGAGACACACACACACACACACACACACACACAGAGACTGAAGGAGAGAGGGGGAAGAGCTGGGAATGGTTCACTCCATTAGGAGGGGGCGGAGGAAGTACAGCCGCACGCCCACGAGCAAGGCCTGACGTGGGGGATGACACGGAATGATTAAAAAAAAAAATAGCGACACCTTGGTAGAAAATCGCCATTTATAGTCATCCGAAGCTGGAATTAATCACATATCTCCAATTAATTTGCGACCCGAAGGAAATCTTGCCTGGGGTGACCAATTCCCCACCCCTGCGGGCACCCGCGTCTCCTCGCGGTTCCCGGGGCCCCCAACCCCGCCCCCTTACAGCGCAGAGCAGGGGGAGCTCTCCTCCCTCCCCCGCCTGGAGCCAGGGAGTACCTGACGCGCCCACTCGATTGTTTCAACCTGCTCCCCCTTCTCCACCAGCTCCACAGTGAACCACCCCCTCCCTACGATGCAGTAAGATTTAAAGGAGCGGGAGAGGGAAAGTAGCTATCAAGCTCGATTAATTCGAATCTCCGCGCCCCTCTGCCCCTTATCCGCAGCTTCCCCTGCACTTGCCTACCCTCTTTTTCTCCAATCCAGCGGCTGAGCTCCGGTCGAAGCCTGGAGCGCGTGAGCACACACTCACGCACAACCACGCGCACGCCCGGGAGCCCAACCGAGCACCCTCTGTGCTGCCCGCACACACCGCCCGCGATCGCGCGCACACGCCCAGGCCTCGGGGGTTTGGTCAGCACCTGTGCGGGCCCTGAAATCTAGACAGTGTCCCCCCTGAACTTCACCGGCTCAGAAGGCCGAGCCCGCGAGAGAGACCTCTTCAAGACGCACAGCGACACCTGTTTTTGGAGGTGGGGAGAGCACGGAGGAAGGAGCCTCTGCAAAGACAATTTTCGAATACTAGAGATTTACTAATTTTCAGAGCAATAGGAAATTTCCGAAGGAATCTCTAGTATGCGGGCTTCTTTAGGATGCATCTCCTGGGATTGTTGGGCTCAGACACACATACACACACACGTCCCTCACGTACGCACACGCACACGCACACGCAGACCCCACACACCTGCGCTGTCTTTTGATGCTCGGGCACAAAGCCTGTGTAGACGCAGCCTACGCGGCAACCAAGTGCTTCTGCCGCTGCGTCTGTGCTTTGTTCAAGGTGCTGTCCAAGACAGCTTGAGTTGAGAATGAGAAATAAACAGGGCTGTTTCCCTCCTAAACGCGGTTAGGCTTTGGTTTCCTTCCATTCTTCAACACCAAGGAAAGCCTAAATCTAGCTTCTTTAATTAATGAAATGCTAAAGAAGGCGTCGGCCAACTTTAAGCCCTTTAAGAGAAAAAACACGAAAACGACTCTCCAAAATCTTCCAAGAACGCAGGAGAAAACAACAGGATATTAAATTATCAGTAGAGATGCAAACGGATTAAGGAGATAGCAAACCGAATTTACTTCTTCAGGCAGCCTGCCACCCGCGTGTCCATCTCCGGGTGGCCAACTCCTTCAGCCCTGGGAGGCACATAGATAATGAACAGGATAGAAAGTGCAAAATAAGGGGGTGGGACGAGCTGTGGAGAGTGAGACTAACGGGGAGCGCGCGGACAGCAGAACTTTGCAGCGTGGAGCGTGTGCACAGGATGGGGACCCTCCCCTCAAGTCCCAAAGGAAGCCGCAGACCCAGAGGTGGGGGCCCGGGGCCCCAGTCGGGGGCGGAATCACGTAGCCCCACTTAGTGACGTCACCAGACCGGTGGGTGGGGCTGCGGGGGGCGGGGGAGCGCCCCTCGCCTTTCCAGCATCTAGGGGGCTCTGTGGCAGCCCAGGGTGTTTCCTTTCCTGGCTCCAGAGGCTCCAGGAAGAGCCGAAAACGTAGGCGGGCAGAGGAGGGGTGGGGGCCGGTGGCGAGAGGGGGGTGTCCCTCAGACCCGCCCCCGACGCCCTCCAATGGCTGGGCGGGGGTTGGTCCGACGGGCGGGGCCTCAAGGAAGTCGCAGCGCGGCTCCCGCCCACATCTCGGCCGCGCCCCTCGGAGCCCTGGGCTCACGGCCGGCCCAGCTTTTCCCCTCCTTCGCTGGGAGCTGGGGCGCGGGTTCCACTCTTGCAGAGCCCAGGGCTGAGGGCGGTTTAAGATGTTTTTGCCCTTAACATACTTGACTTCCTCCGGCTCACCCATCCAGCCTGGATCTTTCGAAACGTAGTGTTCTGAATGTCCTGGGATTCCCCCTCTATTCTCCGTCATCCCGAACTTGGGGCGTTGTGGGTGGGAGGGAGCAGCACTAAAGGGCTAAAGAGAGCAGAGTGAAAGTGGGGTGCGGAGAGCAGTAGCCCCCGGACTCGCGCGCCGGAGCAGAGAGCCCGCCTTCGGGCTCCCGGGTGGTCTCTCCCCGGTGTGGCCGCGCACCCCACCCCCCGAACCCCTGCTGGCCTTTTCCTCTTCCTTTTCCGCCCCGTGTTTCCTAGTCCCGCCTCGCCGGCCCGGGTTGTTCTGAAAGCGCAGATGTGAGAGCAGAATTAGAACGGTACATGAATTATATTGGGGTGAATCATTGAAAGCAGATGCGAATGGCGTGGGTTTTTTTCTTACATATTTTAAACATTCCAAGTCGTTCTGCAGTCCAGGCTCCATGTGAGGATGGTTCTTTCTAGTTCCACATAACAAGCGAATGAAACCCTTGGTTGCCAAAGTATGCTGTTTGGGAACAATGCGGGCAAGATCCGTGGTTGAAGGTGGCCTTGAAGGAGGCGTCCTCCTTCCTTCTTTTAACTTGAAAAGTCCACCCCAGATCATATTTGAGGTGAAAGAACAGGGAATGAGAGTGAAAATCCCCAGGTACTAGGCTCCAAGCTATCAGTATTGTGATGACCTTGGTTTGTCCCCACCTGGCTGCAGTTCTATAATCTGAAAAAGGGGGGAGAAGTGATCTCCAAGGCGGGTTTCACCTTTGAAATTTTGTTAACCAGCCATTTTCTAGAATACTAGTACTATGGTTGGGGTGAGGAGTGGGGGTGTGCAGCTTCAAGAACAGAGATAAATCCATGCAAGACCTCTTGTTATAGGTCAGCTTCTCGCAAAGGGTATATTTCCTTTTGGTAAGCCATTACATTTATAGGTAAAGAAACACATACATTTCAGGATAGAATAAAAAGCCATTGGTGCTGTTTAGCGCCTCATATCAACTTGAGCCAAAGGTAACCCTGAAAGTGGGTCTGCATAATTAAGGCATATGAATATGCCAAACGTCTTGTCTCTAGAACTTCCAGAAAAACCATGTCTAATTTTAGGGTTGGCATCAGCTCCTTTCTCAGTTCACAGCCCTAGTCTCAGCAGGTGGGCATACATTATGTTCACACACATGTGCACATCTGGTGTGTGCCCGGCCCCGCACTCTGCGTTCTTGCTGTGGCAACAGGCAAATCATTGAGCCAGCTGATTCCTTAACTCTCTCTACCAATCTATCAAAGTGGACTTTCCAGAAGCTCCTATCTGCAAAAACATTATTTTGAAATTATGTGTAAGAGCAATTGCCAGGGCCACTAGGAAATTCCACTTCTGTCTTCTCAGTCAGAAAAAAAAAAAATCCAGTTATGTTAGAATAAATTGGTCTAGCAATACATCTCTCTCATAAATGTGGTCTGTCATTTTTTATATCTTCAACTAAAACCTTTAATTAAAATATGAATGTAAATGTATAGCTTTTTATTTTTATTAAATATACTTTATTGTTTTTTTTAATTTTTTTAAATTTTATTTTATTTTTTTATATATTTTTATTTTATTTCATTAAACCTTTATTGTTCAGATTATTACATTTGTTCCTCTTTTTCCCCCCATAGCTCCCCTCCACCCAGTTCCCACCCCACCCTCTGCCCTTACCCCCCACTGTCCTCATCCATAGGTGCACGATTTTTGTCCAGTCTCTTCCCGCATCTCCCACACCCCTTTCCCCCCAAGAATAGTCAGTCCATTCCCTTTCTATGTCCTTGATTCTATTATAATCAACAGTTCATTCTGTTCATCAGATTATTTATTCACTTGGTTCTTAGATTCACTTGTTGACAGATGAGTATTTGTTGTTCATAATTTGTATCTTTACCGTTTTCTTCTTCTTCCTCTTCGTAAAGGATACCTTTCAGCATTTCATATAATACTGGTTTGGTGGTGATGAACTCCTTTAGCTTTTCCTTATCTGTGAAGCTCTTTATCTGACCTTCAATTCTGAATGATAGCTTTGCTGGATAAAGTAATCTTGGTTGTAGGTTCTTGGCATTCATCACTTTGAATATTTCTTGCCATTCCCTTCTGGCCTGCAAAGTTTCTGTTGAGAAATCAGCTGACAGTCGTATGGGTATTCCCTTGTAGGTAACTGAGTTTCTTTCTCTTGCTGCTTTTAAGATTCTCTCTTTGTCTTTTGCTCTTGGCATTTTAATTATGATGTGTCTTGGTGTGGTCCTCTTTGGATTCCTTTTGTTTGGGGTTCTCCGAGCTTCTTGGACCTGTAAGTCCATTTCTTTCACCAGGTGGGGGAAGTTTTCTGTCATTATTTCTTCAAATAGGTTTTCAATGTCTTTCTCTCTCTCATCTTCTGGCACCCTTATAATTCTGATGTTGGTACGCTTGAAGCTGTCCCAGAGGCTCCTTACACTATCTTTGTATTTTCAGATTCTTTTTTCATTTTGCTTTTCTGGTTGGGTGTTTTTTGCTTCTTCGCATTTCAAATCTTTGCCTTGGTTCTTGCGCTCCTGTGGTCTGCTGTTGGGAGTCTGTATAATATTCTTTATTTCAGTCCATGTATGCTTAATTTCTAGTTGGTTCTTTATCACAACATTGAGGGTCTCATTAGATTTCTTGTAGATCTCAATAAGTTTATCAGCGGCTTCTAGACAGTTCTTAAGAGACCTTAAAAGTGTGGTTCTGAACTCAATATCCTCCATTGACAATTTTGTCCTGTTTCTTTGTCTCTGCATTTTTTATGCTTTCTTGGTGCACCCCCTAGTGGTCTTTGTGCGCAGTCTTGTTGTAGTTAAGCC